AGATCAGCGGTTCAGCTAGCCTTAGACATATTTCTTACAGAGCATTTATAATCTTGGCTTTACTCCACATCACTTGCATTGCACACGGGCAAGTTGTCTATACTGTGCCATGTTACCTCGTTTTCAGTGAGCATACTTGCTCTTCTGTCTGTGGGCAATTAACTCAATTTGCGACAAATAAGTTTCAGCAACCAGTTTAAACTCCTCATCAGGCTTTTGGCATGGGTTGCAAAAAGCCTGCCAGCAAACTATGGCCACAAGCAGCAGTTGTTTTCAGCAGGGAAACTCATTCTTCAGCAAGATCCCTCTCCTGCTACACCATAGACATAGCCAACATACAGCAGCTTTTCAGCTACCTCTACTGTGCAGTTCTCTCACCTATATTACATACGAGAGGGTATACCGTGTAAGAGGTGTACAGTGGTATGCATTTACTAGAGGAATGACTCCAAAATACACAGTGCAGCAATCTGCTCAAGGACTTAGTATAGGCTTATTTCAAATAAGAGACCATTTTGTCCTCTCTGGCCAGACAAGCAAGACATGGAAGAGAAAGGGCAGCAGCAGTTGCTGCTGTTCACACACACCAGTTGATTGATAAAAAGCTGTGTGTTTTTCAATAGTACCTCACATCTTCTCCAAGCCTTTTTTCTGAAAAATAAATGGAAGTTCAACACACTCTATTTTCTTACCGCGACATGCTTTACTGTTGTCTCCCACGCCTCCCCCTAAGCAAACTTGCCTGGATTACCACAAAGAGGGACACCCAGGCAGCCAGACTGATCAGGCAATAAAACTGTAAGGCCAGGGTCACCATTTGCAGTGAAAAGATATTTCCTTACCACATGCATGTATTTAAAAAATACTGCCAAACTGAGTTATGACAGAGCGCAATTCTCCACATGACAGAAACATTCAGTTAGACTGATTTTGTTGATTTTGCTTTTCCTCTTTATATCTTCTCTTCGCCCTCTAAATTATTCTAGCCTGGGCATTAATCCCTTGCAGAATCTCTCTCATTATGCCATCTAGACACCCATATTTGCCTGGAAAGTTTCATCTTGTCTGAACTGGAGTCTTTCTCTTGGGAGTACACAGCCTGTTACACTGCATTTTACTACCTTCAAAAAGAGTCTGAAGACAAAAAGACACCTCAGCACTTAAATGGTTCATTGATGTTCTGTTGCAATCTTTATTTAAACAGGAAATTTGGCTAAGATGGCCTAAACAGACAGGAACAAATTGGAAAGATTAAGTGTATGACGATGACAAAAACAAAATTCCATCCCAGATCATTGTAAGAGCTCTGAGCAGTATTTCTGCCTTAAATGGGAGTGTTTTAATGTGCAGGTGGAAATTAAAATTCTATAAACTGGCATTTTTATTAGAACAGCAGCCCTTTTTTACATTTGGCACTGTTTAATTGAAGAGCTTACCGTATGACCAAGCCAGCAAAAGCACAGGAAATGCAGAAAACTGAAGCACAGAGCACGTCACTTGCTTAATGGCACAGGCAAGCCTGTGGCAGGGCCAAGAACTGAATGTGAGCTTCCTTACATGTCGGTGTATTGCCTAAGCTAAGACGACAATGAACACTTGTGCAGAACTACTTACCCAAGCGCTATGTGGACAACAGCTATCACACATCATATCAAAAACTGTATAAACAAATACAACCTTTCAATTAACCTGCCAGAAAGCTAACACTGACTAAGAAACAGACAGTACCCAGGCTGGAGCTGCTCCAGCCTTCCTAGTTATCAATTTTAGTCATTTAGAGTCTTTGTTTGAGTTCCCCCATGAGGTGACCTTTACAAAATTCAGCTCTTCTGAAGATCAGGGAATTCAGTTACCCACAATACATTACATGGGACAGCTCTTAAAGCATAATGAAAAAAAAAATATGATAAACAAACGTCTTCCAGTCAAGTTCAATAAAAGACAGTAATACCTTAATTTTCTGGTGAATATGCCTCAGTGAATCTGCTGTACCCATGTCCATGTTGTCACTGATGCACACAAAATCCAGCTTCATTTTTGTGTCCAAGTTTAACACCTTTTGAATTTCCTTCCTTGTAATCACAATGACCTCTAGAACAGAGGAAAGTGGGATGAGATCAAGGAAAAAAAATACTCATCATAAATAGGATACACTCACTTTCTATTTACAAAGGTTGATGGAACTATCAAAAGGCTTTCTACGACAAACCAAGCTCTTCTGGCAATAGTAACTTTTGAAGAAGAGAATTAAACTCCTAATCTAGTTGAAGATGTCCCTGCTCATTGCAGAGGGGTTGCACTAGATGACCTTAAAAGGTCCCTTTCAACCCAAAGATTCTACGATTCTGAGTCCAATGAATACGAAAACAATCCCTCCTGCTTTGTGTGGCGGGAGGTTGTTACTGAAACGGTCACATGCACATGAGTGGCATGAGTTAGCAAGACAGAACAGAAATTATTCTATCATTAGCAAGCAGCTTCAAACAGACCAATAAGATCCTGCATTAATGTCACCAAGACTTTAGAGCTTTGTCTTTTGCCCACCCTGATCCTGTACAACCTTCTGTGGACACCACCACCAACCACAGTATTACAATACAACCGTTAAACTATTTCTCAGCATCAGCTTGGCAAGAGAGTGGAGTAATATGTGAGCAATAACTTCATTCCATCTACAAAAGAAAAAAGGTAAATGCATATTTGAAGGATATCAACAGTGGCATGAAAGCATATTTTCCAAAATTAAGAATACGAGAACAGCAGCTCTGCAAAGAAAAGATTGAGATTAAAAAAACCCCCAAAGAACAGCAGGAAACCTTTTCGTCTCACCTCAAGAACTGGAGGGAAAAGCAACAGTCAAACACTTAAATTAAAATATCCCACCCCCAAAAAAACCCCAACACTGTAACATTGTATACCACATGTAATTTTAATAGAGAAGTATAGGAAATAATACAGCCTTCAGGCTAGGAAGCTCCTGTGGTAAGACAAAAACACACTAAGAATAGATCTATATCAATCAAAACTGAACTCATCCTGAATCCATTAACAGAAAAGAGGAAAGAACTGTAAACATGAGAATTGTGTGGCAGTTTGGTACCAGAGATATGGGAGGGGCCCTCTCCCACTCCTGTACCGGATGCCAACTTGGATTCAAAACAGACTAAAGAACCTAGAGAAAAGGAC